TATGTATGTGTGTATATGTGTATATGTATGTATGTATGTATGTATATATAATGTCGGATACATTTTCTCTCACTAATGCTTACTCAAAAGAACAATACACAAATGGCAGTTGAATATTTAGTAGTATATCTGGCATTTTTATTTGCAAGTTCATATTTCAGGACAGGTTACACACATAAATATACATAAACGTATACGAGCGATGACCAGTCAAAAAAATGAGCCACAAGCTGCATTATTTGCTCACTTCTATATCCCTCTCTGCTCAGCCAAGTTCATTGTATGTAATTTATGCCTGGTTAAATAAAGGTGAAATGAAATGTCAGGTGGGGTCCTTGAAGCCAGCTGCAGTCGTCTTGTACACAGTACTCTTCATTAACCACCCGTGTATATTCTTAGGTAACTATAACTTTTCCAGAACACAAATAAATAAATAAATAAATAAATAATAAATAAATAAATAAACAATAATTGCTTGTTATTCAAGAGTTGGACAGTAAAATTATCAAACCACCACTGAATGAACAAAACTTTGTGCTAAAACAGAATATCTATATTGCACAAAAATAAACATTAAAAATAACTGGGCAGGAAAATTTGTGTTTGTTAAATTATGAGCTAAAACTTCCTGTTTGTGGAGTTTTTTAATAAATCCAAATAGTGGCTTCAGCTGCTAAGTTCATGGCAAAAACCAACACAGATCAGTTTTTAATATCGATTTATAAAGTAGCTGGTTTTGTTTCATTTTTAATATAATTTTCTTCCATTTATTTTTCAATTTATATGCCTATTTATGATTGTATACTGTTGGCATCATTCTTTGGTGTCTCTTGTAAATGAGTCCTCAAGGCTCAATGAGAACCTGAATAAATGCTGTATAAATGGACAGTGGTAGTGCAGAGGTTAGAGAAGATGGGCCTGTGATCAGAAAGTCGCAGGTTCAACTCCCCTGACTGAAAACATCAAAATGTGGGAGGAAAAGGTAAAACACCCACATTTGCCTCCACCCTCATTTGTCCCACTCTGGGCCCCTGAGCGAGGCCCCCAACCCCATCATCTGCTCCCAAAAAGAGTTCTCTCTTGAAAATGAGTTCTCGTGACTCAATGAGATTACTTGTTTAAATAAAGGGTAAATTAAAAAAAAAAAAATAAATGAAAAAAAAAATCCTAGGAAAACATATTTTATTATTGTTATTATTATTATGGGGAGTTCTATATACCGTTTTGTTTCAAGAGCATTGAGTATATTTCATTAACTGGGGCTTTTAAACTATTTCAGCCACCTGTTGAGAGCTGTTTACCAGTATCCTCGGTTTGTTTTGAAGAATGATGTCATCCGGACACGTGTCCTCCATTCTTTCGTTTCCGGCAATCTGATTGGTCGAGCCCAGATGAATCCGCACGGTGTAACAGGACCGAAGCCATTTTATTATTTTAGCAGTGGAGCTGTAGGTGCAGCGAAGACTATTTTAATACAGCAGGTGTTTTCTTTGTAGCGCGCCCGATACGATGGGACAGTGTGGGATTACGTCGTCTAAAACCGTCCTGGTTTTTCTTAACCTCATATTTTGGGTAAGAAAATGGCGACTGTTTGAACAATGTGCAGCATCCCGGTGAGGACGGCGGATGAAGACGGTTAGCTAGCTGCAGACTGCGCCAGATGCGCTGCGGTCAGAAGGAGAGTGGCTGCATTTTGTGGGACACAATGCGACTTTTGTCATATCCGTGAGGTTCACCGACGATTATTTTAATAGGGACTATTTTAGTGTTGCTAGTTGTCTAGAAGCCTGCACAAATGATGCTGAACACCGCGGCAGCGCCAGATGACTTCACCTTCATCAGTCTGAGCAACAACGCAGCTTTAAATGAACGCACTAGCTTCACAAGATGAATTAACACGAGCAAAATTAAGCTTAAAACACCTTATTTCATTAAAATGCATAGATTATGTAGTCCAGTTCACACAGCTTGACACACAGGTATATTTAGGCTCATCATTTAATCCTCAAGTCTATACTTGGAAGCTTTTATTTCCAGAACCCTCCCTCTCTAATTTGCTTTGATTATTAGGAGACTCTCCATCATGTGTCCCTGAGTCGGTCTGCCTTTGACTTTTGTCTTTTTGTCTCTCTTTTTGCAGGCGGCAGCTGGAATTTTGTGCTACATTGGAGCCTATGTGTTTATCACATATGACGACTACGACCACTTCTTTGAAGATGTGTACACTTTGATTCCTGCTGTTGTGATCATAGCTGTGGGGACTCTTCTGTTCATCATCGGTTTGATTGGTTGCTGTGCAACAATACGTGAAAGCTCCTGTGGCTTGGCAACGGTGAGTGTTGACTACTTTGATTCAAAACGAGGGGAATGCAGTGGATGTGAATATATATATATATATATATATATATATATATATATATATAATTTTATGATGCACAAGGGTAATGGAAATCAGTTTAAATAACAAAAAAAGGTTAAATCATTTCATCTGGACCAGCTTCTTTAAGGGAGAACATTTTTTTTAGAAACATTTGCTTGTTATACATGATGATGGATGTTTTGGACGCAAATGACAAAATCTTTTCAACAAAGCGTCAGGGTCCTGGAGAACCTTCATCTGCTCAGACGACACACTTGCTGTGTGATATATCTCTGGGGAAGTAGAATGTATGTGTCTACCTCTGCTGTCGGTCGAGGATGCCGACATTGCATATAACTGGAGTTATGATAACAGGTTTCCTGTTTTTGGAATAGTCTGGATCCTGGTTTATCAGCATACAAAGAAGACGGCCGCAGCTAATTTGGCCCTCGTCAAGCTGCAGCCTATGTGAAGGTTTGGTTCGTGCTTTGAGGACTCAAAATCAGCTGGTTTACAAGCTCAACCGTAAAATGGAAGTGATTTGAATCGCAGGCAACCTGTGGCTTTGGGACTCGTCAGCATGAAAACGACTTTGAAGAGGCTCGTGAGCACGGACTAGTAGAATGCACCCTAATCTGGCCATTTCGGACCTTGGAAGTATCAGTACAGACTCAAGGCTGACAAGAAAAATAGTCTGCCTGAATAAATCAACAATTGTGGCTTACCTGAATTTGACTCACCTGGTTGGCCTCGAAACAGGCCGACTTATCAATTTCTCCTGGGAAATGTGTAAACTAAGGAAAAGCTTTGTCTATCATTTGACCACACAATGCGTTGGAATCCTCCCAGAAAAGCTGGAACAGGTGGCTCTGCAGAGATGGCCTCCCTGCTCAAGCTGCTTCCCCATCAAACTGACACCGGAAGAAGTGGCTGAAAATGAAATGATGGATAGATCTATCTTTACTCTTCCGAGGATGTAAGAATATGCTAATCAGGCTCTGCCATTATTTCACCCTTGTTGCCTTTCCTCATACTCTCAGATCATACACATCTGACTGTGCCAAACTGTAGAGTGAACTCTGCCAAAAACTAATCCTCTGAACTTGTACTGAGCATGACAACTTTTGAGTTTTTGCACATAAGAAGCAACACTCATTTGTTGTCATTTTCTTTTTAGCAACACCAAAATAGGATTTTGGATCTTGATGACTTTTTTTTTCTGATTAAAACAAAAGTCTTTGCCTGGTCTGGGATTTTCAATGGAAGCTTGGCAAGCACGTTATTTTTTTGTAGCTAAATGCTTTTAACTGTTTCATCCTCAGGCACCAAGGTTGTCTTTTTGTGTTAACTTGAAAAGACAGGCAATTAAGCTTGTTGCAAAGTGCAGTTAACTGTGTTGACGGATTAATTATGCTATTTGTGCACATGTGGTTGTGGTGCTAACAGTGTGAGTGTGTAATTAAGTGTGATGTCGGTAATGAATGCATTAAAGCTTGCATGACTAAACATTGCTTAAAGGTGACTTTTCCCACACGTACATTACAGTGCAACAAAAGTAGTGCAAAAAATCTGATCACTATTCATCATTTTAAAAATGTAAAGCGAGTTGGCACATGAAAATTCTAGATTAATGACTTAACGCTGCTGTTTTGAAGGCACGTTTACCTTAACTTGCCTTCAAAACAGCATCAGTCTGAGGCTGAGTTTCTGCAAATGAAGTTGGTGGTTTAGTCAGGATTTCCGGTGCTTAATTATCAGTACAAACAGATAATTCTCCATCATGTGATACCATCAGTGAAGTATTTGATTTACCTCACATTTGCATTTGTTCTGCAGCAAATTGACCACCACAAGCACAGATGACAAGTTTGTGTGTCTGTGGGGGAATCCTGGCAGGGTGGTTCATGAGTAGCTCTCCGACTAAAGGAACTGGAGCATCTCTGGCAGCGTTCATAATATGAGCCGAGTTCAAGTGGGTGTTTTTTGTGTTGTGAGAAACACTTTTGATTGTTTTGCTCTGTGAGTGAGTTAGCACTGTTGCCTTAGAGCAAGAAGACCCTGGGTTTAAGTCCAGAGGTCTTTCTGTATGGAGTTTGCATGTTCTCTATGTGTTTGGTGGGTTTTCTCCAGGTATCCGGTTTCCTCCCACAGACCAAAACATGCATGTTAGGTTAGCTGAATACTCTAAATTGCCCCTAGGTGTGAGTGGGAGTGGTTGTTTGTCTCAATGTGGTCCTGTGATGGACTGGAGACATGTCCAGGGTGTAGTCCGCCTCTTGCACAGTGACTGCTGGAGAAAGGCACCAGCTCCTCGTGACTTGGAAATGAAAAGCAGATAAACTTTATTTTTGATCAATTCATTATTTTACTCAATATTTGATGCTTTAAATATGCTACGAGTTCCGAATAAATCACTGACTGGTTCAGTAGTGCAGAAGAGGCAACAGTTTTAGGTGCAAGTGACGCAGACAGGAAAAAAAAGAATAATAGATGTATAAAATAATGCACAGCTGTGGACCAGCAGAGTGACGACTCAAAAACAGTTGTTTACAAACATGCATATTTACTGTCATTTCTGGGTAAATGAGTGGAACAACATCAGTCTCTGTGATTAGTTTAATGACAAAACAAACAGATGTTTTGGTTTAGTGTATTTGCGCTGAACGACTACATCATTTTAAAACTCGACATTAACATAATAAAACTAGAGTAGAACTCGAGTACTTGATGACATCATAGGATCTAAAGGTACAAAAATAAATAAATCAAACTGCAAAAAAGGTCATTATTTACAAAAAAAGACCAACAAAACATTGGGAGCATATATTATGCTCCTACCATTTATCATACTGCAAATAAGTCACAGGAAAAACTAAACTATTAGTTATTGTTATTAAGCTGCAAAAGTGAAAGAAACATGCGGCACGTCAAAAACGAAACTAAAAACAGCGGGGCAGACGACCACCCCGCACCACCGCCAGCTGTGGTGCACGTTCGGTTTAGTTTTAGAGATTAATATGTTTATAGGTTTTTTTTATAGGTTTAGAGATTAATATTTTTTGCATTTTGTTTGTGAAACAAGGTCAGAGGAAGCTGGTTCTGGTTCGGTCGATTGGACCCGGTGTTACACCATATTCTGTGACCTGCAACAGTGCATGCAACACCGTCCCCTACGGTCACAATATACGGTGGTCACAGAATATGGTGCAACAACGAGCTCCAAACAGTCAGGAAGTTGATTCATTTTCTGTTTCCTTACAGTAGTTGAACCAGAAGATTCATCTTTAGTGAAATATTTCCAGACTATTGATGCATTTCTACTTGTTTGCCAAGACTGGACCTGCTCCGCTCCATCTTTCTGCTTGGAGGAATCCATTTTGTAACCCGTGCCCGGTGCGGATCACATGACACGTGACACAATGGCATAACGGTGATCTAATGACATCACTACGAATACTCGACGTGAAATAAAAAAACTTGATAGATGTCCTAGGAATCGATGTGTAGATTACGCGAGTAGTCTGTTAAAGCTCTAATTTGCGCCCACAGTTCAAACACTGAAGACTGGAAACTCCTGTCCTTTCTAGTTTCTTGGATGAGATATGATCCGGTTTAAAACAAGAAAGGAAATAAACAGCTAAAATTAAAACCACTTCTTTTCTAGTTTACATATTTGAAAATGACAAGACCACGTAAAAAATCCAATTTGTTGTCTATAGAACATCTATGTACAAAAAGTTTTCTAAAGTGGAAATATAATTTTTTTTTATAATAAATACGGTAAGTATAAACATCATGTAGATGATGAGTATCTAAATGTTTTCGAGCCTTTTAAAGCCTTCAGGTTTACATAAAGAGTCACCTCCCTCCATTTACCATTTGGATAGATTTGAACTTTTAGGCGTCACTTCAGAACCAGTAGGCTCAATTGTTTCTGGTGTTTTCTTCTTGTCATTTCAGTTTGCTGTCATTCTCCTGTTGGTGTTTGTGACGGAGTGTGTGGTGGTGGTTCTCGGCTACATCTACAGGGCAAAGGTAACACTTGCTCACCGGTCCTCAGAAGGGTTGAAGTCTCTTTGTGTGGGTCAAAGCTCGCATCTGTTTTTCCCGTGTCGAATAGTGTGGATTATGAAAATAAAATGGTGAAATATTGAAAATTTTTTATTCCTAAATATAAATGGTGTTAATAGTTTTTACTGAACACCAAAGACACTGTAGCTGCTTCTTTATCACAGGTAGAAGATGAGGTGAATCACTCCATCCAGAAGGTTTACAATGAATACAGCGGCGCCAACAGGGACGCTCCCAGCCGTGCTATTGACTATGTGCAGAGGCAGGTGAGGAAACGCCTACAACTCAGTGGACACTTTTCTTTTTTATGTATTTTCATGAGTTTCAGAGCCCCTTGTTAATGAGTATTTTAACAACCTTGTTATGCCGTCTTCAGCTGCACTGCTGTGGTATTCACAACTACTCTGACTGGAGGAACACGCGCTGGTTTAAAGAATCCAAGAACAACAGCGTCCCCGTCAGCTG